ATTGTTATAGGAAAAATAGTGCAATAATTGGCTATTTATGAAATGCGCAATAATTAAGGTCAATTATTTTAATCTTAGTATTCGGTGATTTCTTGTAAATTTGCTAATGCTCTGTTTAAAGAATTAATTAAAGGTGCAATATTACGGTGAACTTATTTTGTAGAAAGATATGTATATTATATATATAAATTTAGATAAGATGCATTATTATTGAGAAATTAATTTCTTTTGAAAATAGCTTACCAGGTATATTACTTATGATCATAAATAATAATTAAGTATGAAAATTAACCTTAGCACTGAATTGTGTAAAATTTGATAGGTCTCTCCCGTGAGTGCGCTTAGATTTTGTACCTGATATTTCAGTTTAATTTCGTAAGAAAAATAAATACTGATTTTATTATAAGGAAAAATTTGTAAGTTAATATTGTTATTATTTTTTTCATTTTTCCATGACTTTCACTAGTTATCAGCACAGGATTGATTACGGTATTATAACTAAATCACACAACGCAAAGTTCTAGAATTAAAATTGTGTAGATTTTGTCTAATTTTAATGATGCCTTCTTAAAAGCTACTGAACAATTTTGACCAACGCATAGAAAATAATACCGTGATCGATTTCGCGTGAATTGTTGAAGTGTGTAACAAGTGACTCTAATTTTTTTATGTGAATGATTATCGGTGAGGAAACGTGGGTTTTTCAGTATGATCCCGAAACAAAGAGACAGAGTGTAGAGTTACACACCCCAACCTTCTAATAAAAAAAAAAAAGGCTTGAGTGAGCAAATCGAGACTGAGGTCCATGACCATTGTTTTGACACAAACGGAATAATGCACAAAGAGTTTGTAATAGTGTACAAAGACAGTTAATGCAGATTTTTACGAGGAAGTGCTCCAAAAATTAAAAAGAATCGCGCGCGTCTGCCCGAAACTCAAAAACAACTAGATTCTACACCAGTCCACACATCCTTCAAAGTGACTCAGTACTTGGAAAAACATCAACGTCACAACGCTGCCTCAACCACGGTACAATCCCGATCTGTCACCGCCGCACTTTTTATTCTCCCAGTTAAAATCATACTTAAAAGGTCATCGTTTTGACAATGTGGAGAACTAGCAGAAAAACGCAACGCGCATTCTAAACAGCATTTCAATTGAATACTTCCCGGCGGGCATCAGTGGGTGGCAGAGTCGTTGGCAATGGTATATTAATGCAGGAGGAGGCTATTTTAAAGAATATAAGTGTCTATAAAATGATCTTCAAATAAACGAATTTTATTTAATCATCTCATTACTAATGGACAGACCCTGTATTATCTCGTCAATTACACAAAAACTCACATGATTTTTTTTTTAATTCAATGCAAACAGTTGTTTTCCATTCCCTGCCTCTACTTGGAAATCCCCCCTTCCCCAATTTTACGCTACATCATTTATCAAATACCTGCACTTGCATTATCTTTCTACCACTCAGCTTTAGCTTTTAAAACCACTTGAAGGTTTTATGTTTCATTTATGCCATATCATAATATGAAATGCCTCTGAACCTTAAACTTTAGAAATCAGTGTATAGTACCGTAATTTCCGGATGAAACGCCGCGGCGTTTACGTGTTTAAAACTTAAATTTTCAGCGGGTGCGGCGTTTCTACCCATGCGGCGTTTAGGTGCGCTAAAATTAAAATATTTCCTATGATGGTCATTGTATATAGTTTGGATGGCCTTGTCATTGTGCATAGACTGGTGCTGCTCCCACACAAAAGACCACTCAGTTGCTTTTTGCGAACGTTATTTTGTTTACATTCTTTCCCTTGAACGGACCTACATGCCTTATTCACCCTAAACGAGATCTCAGAACAATAACATTCTTCCCCCTTTCAAATCAACATACTCATCAGTTCGAATAGTCTATCTCCTCTGCCATTCGATGAATCTTCCAGGACCCAGCCTCTCCCCACCCCTGCCTTTTCTGCAATTTTTTTCAAAGGCGGAAACGACTCCACCTGCGTTGCAATAACGAACTCTGACGTATTTCCCCTTCAGCATGAATGGATTTTTTCTTGGCATTCTGCCAGATACAGATCCCATCAGTTTGGGTACAAGTACTTGTTGGGTAGTTTTTAAGTAAGAAGGGAGCGGAAGATTTTTGAAAATGTCCCTAAACGGCACAGAAGCTATACTGCTGGTTTTAAGCTTAATGTAATTTCACGTGCTGAACAAATTGGAAATTGAGCGGCAGCTCGAGAGTTTGAAGTGGACGACAGATGTATTCGACGTTGGAGAACTGAAAAAGAACTTCTTAAAAATATGCCACAACAAAAACGAGCCAAAAGAAGTGGTACTGTAAGGTGGCCAAATCTAGAGGACGATCTTGCAAACTGGATAAAAGAGCAACGAGAAAAGGGAATGGCAATTTCGACTGCAAAAATTCGCTTACAAGCAAAATTTATAGCAAAACGAATGAACATAAATGATTTCAAAGGAGGTGTAGCAGATTTAAGAAAGGAAAAAATATTTCTGTGCGTACTAGAACAACAGTCGGGCAACAATTACCAATGGACTGGCAGTATAAAAAGTCATCTTTTCTAAAATATGTGACAGCTATTATTGACAAAAAAAAAAAAAAAAAAAAAAAAAAAAAAAAAAAAATTCTTCGGTCGCAGATAATAAATATGGATGAAACGCCGTTAGCTTTCGACTCTCCTGCAAACAGAACTGTTGATGAAACTGGTGCAAAAACTGTATCTATGTTTATGACGGGGCATGAAAGAACGTCATTTACATGTGTGTTAGCTTGTGCCGCAAACGATGACAAGCTAAAGCCGATGATCATTTTTAAACGAAAAACTATTCCGAAGGGAGATGGTATGTCATATATCAGGACTTAGGTTGAGTTTTTGCATCTATACGGCCCACGACGATGTCACGCGCAATTTAATCTATTGCGGCGTTTACGCTGATGCGGCGTTTCTGTGTAATTTTAATTTTTTTCCCGCCATTTTTCTCGAGTGCGGCGTTTACGCTGATGCGGCCTTTCTTCCGGAAATTACGGTACGAATTTCAATGAAAGTCCTGAAATACCTATTTTTTTAAAAATTATTTCAAAATTCGGTTGTCCTAGTCTAACAAAGACTTCTTTTTCACAAATTCAGATGCATATAACAGAAGTTCCTGTTGCCTACAAGTCAAAAGCAGGAGTGCTTGTAACATTTATTCATAACTTTGCAGCCAATAATTTAAACCGGGAAATGAATCTATGGTATTAGACAAAAGGATAATAAAATTTATTATCAATTCACATGATTAAACTTAAGTTTAATATATTTATCATATTATAATGTGATGTAATGTAATGAAAATATATTTATCATACAAGGGGTGATCAAATGAAAAGCTACGAAACGACACGGTGGGTACAAATGTAGACTTTATTCAAATATACACCATAGGCCTGAGCACAACGATCCCACAGATGAAAAAGCCGCAGGATTCCTTGTTCCCAGAATTCCTGTAGCCGTGACGAGACCCAGTCCTTCACAGCGTCATTGAGTACGTCGTCCAAATTGCAGCGCTTCCCTTTTAGGTGTTTCTTCAGTGGACCAAACACATGGAAATCGCAGGGCGACATGTCCGGATTGTAGGGCGGATGGTCCAACATCTCCCATTTGAACTTGGCCAGTTCCATGTGTGTGACTCTGGAGACGTGTGGACGCGTGTTATCATGGAACAGAGCCCCACCCTCCGTGAGCAGCCCCGGTCTTTTGTTCTTGATGGAACTGTGTAGGCGTCGAAGTGTCTCACAGTACACATCAGAGTTAATGGTTTTTCTGTGTTCGAGGAATTTCACAAGTAGCGGACTTTGAACGTCGAATAAGACGGTGAGCAACACCTTGCCTGCTGACGGCACGGCTTTGAACTTTTTAGGGGGAGGTGACGACGCATGCTTCCACTGCATGCTGTCCCGCTTTGTCTCTGGCTCCTAGTGATGGCACCAGGTCTCATCACCTGTGACGATCCGCTCCATGAAAGCGGGGTCTTCCTGATACCGAAACAGATGTTGCAGTGCTAGCCTCATACGCAGTTCTTTTTGCTGGTCGGTGAACTGTTCTGAAACCCAAGCGGCACACACCTTCCGATATCGCAACCTGTCGTGAACAATTGTCCATAGCTGACATCCACTTTCACCGCCAACATTCGCAATGTGACACGCCGATCACTTCTCACTAGATCGTCCACCTTGTCGATGAGATCGCTCGTGATGACAGTGTTTTTCGGCCTGATCTCGGGTCATCACCCACACTCTCACTGCCTGCACAAAATCGGGTACTTCATTTCCTGTCAGACGTTGTCAGAGACACATTTCTCCCCGTAAATTGTCACCATCCGGAGATGAATAGCTGTCCGGTGTTCTCAACTTCCGCTGTCCAGAAATCGAATAACACCTCGCTGCTCCTCAAGTCGTCGAATTTTGCAACGCGAATGCCATCCTGTCCTCATACGGACTGCCGCATCATTTGGACGCCGCTTTTGATGAGAGCCTCTTCTCTCTCCTGCGCATGCTCCGATCCCAGTCAGAGACTCCAATCGCATTCTGAGATGTCTCGCTACGTTCTCCCATGGCGGAATATGCAAATATTTAACTGTTACGTTTTTACGTCGTTTCGTACCTTTTCATTTGATCACCCCTTGTATTATAATGTATTTATCACTTAATTGAGTTTGTACTTTTTCTGCTAAATGGCTACCTGCTGAATTTGCCTGTTTCAAAAATCTTTCAAATGATACCATACATGCTACATACATTAGTACAATAAATATGGCACTTATTAGTTTAATCGACAGCCAGTGGTTAATTGTCAAGTTTGGAGCCATTTATCACCAAATGATCTACCAATTAACTAAAATAAAGAGAAAAAATTATAATAATAAAAATAATAAATTAAAAAATAAAGAGAAAAAAATAATAATAAATTAAAAAATAAAGAAAGAAAACAATGCATTTGCTTTGTTTATATTACACTTTATTACACTCAATATAAAAATATTTTACATATAGTACAGGATCACATGAATTAATATCACATATTTTTCAATTTCCTCAGGTTTACAAATGACAATATTTTAACAAGTCAGAACCAAAGAGACATCTAATCTGTAGGAAAAAAAAACAAATTTCTTAAGGTAACAATTAGTTATGCAATCTAGCAATTTTTAAAAAGATATAATTAACACTACACATCATAATTTTTTAATTTTAAAGATTTTGTAGAAGATACAAATTAACTTTCCTCTTTACATGAATTCGTACAAGTCGGATTTTTTAATAAAATAATTCAGAGTTTATATTTTGAATCAAAAGTAATATTTCAGTAAGTCAAAAGTAATTTAAATGAGTAAAATAAAACACATTTGAGCTTCCATTAATGGAAAATTTTTGAATCTCCTGACCCTCAGAGTAGGAAATTAGTGCCTTTTTAACTATCAGATAGCCTTTGACATAACTTTGGTCCTTGAGTGTAATCTAATGGAAGATTTTGAATATTTACAGTTTTCCCCAAATTTTAAAAATGAAAGACTATTAAAATGGACATACTGAATTTTTTATAAAAAATTAAAGCTTAAAATACAAGATGGCTTTGACAAAAATAACTAAGTTATACACTAATATAATATTGTTATATATATGTATGTATATACTGTGAAAATATTAACAATTCAGGTAACATTAAAAATCATTTCATGAAAATGTAAAACTTTACATATAAAACCATCATGAAGAATAATAAGAGTTAATTATTTCTTTGTCACATTATTTGTAGCAGCAAGTGGTACACAATGAATGGAATGTGCATTTAAATTTGAATTTTTCATTTCTTATACATATATATACTGGATGATCGTTAAGATAAAATGTTTTACTATTCACCACTAAATACATTAAGGAATACAGCTTTAACAACTGAAAAAATAGCTGACTCTGGAACTTCAGTTCATACCCTAATATTTCAAACAAAAGTTTACCATTTAAAAAAAAAAAAAAAAATATATATATATATATATATATATACACACACACATAGACAAAAAATTACAATCTGATCTTCACATTTAAATCCCAAGTTAATATCTGAAATAATTTTAAGCTAATTATGATAGGCTGACTAAGTTAACTCTTTCAGTCCCTGGAATTTAACCACTTGCGCTAAAAAGACGTGCAATGCACGTCGAGATGCTTTTGTCTCAAAATGCGAGCGACGTGAACACCTCGTCGATAGGCATTTATCGCAAAAATGAAAACAACATAGTGCACACGCTGCCTAACAACGAGACTGTTTATTTTTCGAGTTACAGCTGTGGATTGCGTGGTGCACACGTCGCCTAACAACGAGATTGTTTATTAGCTCTAGATTGCACTCGCAGACGCAGAGCGGCATAAAATGAGACACTATACCGCTTGTTATATTGTAGCGCACGGCACCGCAACTGTGAAGTTTAGTCGTAGCGCAAGTGGTTAATTTTTTATGCTGTGCAATATTGTTTATAGGTATTAGAATTCTCTTGAAACATACTAACAAGTTCTTACTTGAAATGTAGGAAAAAAAGATGTTTTAGCAATTGCCAGTGTCAAGTCTCAAGGTAAAAATTCATAAAAACATAAATGTACATTATAATATTACTAACATTTATTGTATATGAAATTATTTCAAACAATTTTTATTTTTTGTTAAGCAAAGCTGTACTTTGCATTTTTCACAATGGATTCTGGAACATCCTCTCCAAGTTTCCAGTTTACAATGCTGTTTCTATCCATCTTTATGTATCTAATTAACATTAGATAACATATCTGGCACAAGAGCTATGTGTGCTTCTGAAGTTTTGCTAGAATAAGCAAATTTCTAGGATCGGAGGTCTTTAACTGTAGTCTACCTTGTCTTAATGGCATGCTGACATTAAAAATATGCTAAACTTTTTATGAGTGCCATAGTGAATTGTAATAAAGCCATAACTGAACTACTGAAGGTCATATCATACTACCGAAAGCAATCTCTGTTGTCAATAAAATACACCTCTACATGAAGGTGGCAAAAGCCACCAGCACAGCTGAAAGAGTTAAGAATTCACTTCCAGAGATTCAAGGTACAGAACAAATAATCATACATTCAAAAGACAAACTGGTCAGAATAGTAAAGCCAATAATATGGGGAAAACCTGCTAATTATTAATTAACATCAAAAGGAGGCTTTTGCATATATCTAAAAAGGAAAAGAAAACCAAAAGGGTTCAAATTTAAATGATCGCCCAAAAGAGCTCTTTTAAAATTTAATACCATTTATCAGTAGAGAATATCAATAGAAGATGGGCCAGGTGGAATCATGAAACATTTTATAGGATACTAGATGAATATACATTTAGACTAAAAGGGAAACATTTGAAATCAACAATATTTTTGAAAAGTGAAAAAGTATATAGCATATATCTATACAAATATTTAATGTTTCTAATTATATATATCATGAATTCATTCTTACTTAAATCAAGCAGATTAAGAATTTAAAAAATATGATTAAGAATCATGTCTGTTGCCTTTAAATTGCTTTTACTCTGTTAATCAATAACAGACAGATTAAAAATGAAACATAAATAACTTGCATTTTGCCACATGGCAATGGACTCAATTAAAAAATGAAACAATACAATTAGAGGGTACAACATTTAAAATGAATCAATGCAAAATCCTATTTAGAGACAAATAGCACTTTTGGGCTAACAATTATTTAAGATGTAGGCATGCTTTTTTTTTTTTTTTTTTTAATTCATTGTTTGCACATGAAGCATGCAGGAAATATTTCCTGAAAGTGAATTGGCACCAATATTTGCTTTGATAAAACATACAATTAGCACAATAAAACAATAACTAGGCATTTAGACATCATTTAAATAAATTAGTACTCTGCGGAATAGAGTTAAAAAAAAAACAAAAAAAATTTGATTATATTAAAACAAGAACCGTGAAAAGTGAACAAGGCCATGGAATGTATTATGCAAGAAGTTTAAATGAAATAAAATGAGGAAAAAGAATGCCCGTTTAAACGTAAAATTATCAAACAATATAGACAAAATATTGCAAAAGTTTTTAATAAAAAAATTTTGCTGTTCATTTTCCTATTGACTTTAACATATATTTGTATATAAAATCAAGATTCTAAATCCATTAACATAGAATGATCTTGACTAAATTCAGACATCTCAGAAAACTTCCAAAAATCTTCTAAACGGCAGTTTTGATTGGAACAAAATGCTCGAAAATCTCTCATCACTTTCCGCATAAAATTCTCATCTACAGTTCCTGTTGTCTTCCATCTCTTTGTAATCATGTAATTCCAAGACCATAAGAAACCAATCTAAAGTAAACAAAAATATTATTTTTTCCTTTTCTGTTTATTGGTATACAGATCCTAAATTATGCAGTTCTACCGTGGTACAAAATAACATCTCCATATGGTGCAGTATTTATGCACCTCTATGTTTTCTGAATATCTTGTATTATTCCCAAACAGTGAATAACTTCAAAACAAAAGTTATGTATTCTGTACAATGCAATGCATGCAATGTACATCACTCTGTTTTTGAGAGAAAAGAATGTGCCTTTAATTCCACCAACAAGTGTACTTTTGCTCTTACAAGATGCAAGAATTATCAAATATATAAATTAAAGTTATATTAGCAGAGTTAGTATACTAGTAATTAAGAAATCAGGCATGCAGACAAACTATCACAATTTCATACAATTTTATTGCCTCATAATTTATAAAGCAGGTTTACTACTCCTTCTTGATACTTGCTTTATTTATTTACATAATTTGCTTTACAGTGTGATACTGCTTCACACCAAACTGAGTGATAATAGAAATAACATTAATAATAATAACAACACACCAACACAACTATTATTTACTTCTGTGAGCACTCAAACTTAACAGACAACATCACTGTAATTATCACTATAACAGACATATATATTAAAAAAATTGATATGGACAACTCGACTTCCATGTACGGCCTATTAAATTATACACAATTTTGGCTGCATTTTAACTTATTCCCTTGAATTTCATTAGTGACATATTTCTCATCCAATTAATTCAGTTCTCATTTTGCGGAAAGAGAAAATATATAAAAACTTAAAACATCTTCATCAAAAATTGTAAACTACAAAAAACATAAAACATCGAATACAGTTACAAAAATTTAGAATTAAAATTTGAGTTTCAATGCAAAAACAAACAATTCAGCCAGTGGGTACGAAGGCAGTTTTTTTGATGCACAAAACTGAAAGTTTACTTTTGATTCCACTCGGCCTAAAGACAGTGAAGGGGCAGAAACTGACTTAATTCACTATCCCACTAAAAGTTTTAAATGTAAACAAATAGCAGCTTCCATAGCTTCCATAGGCTTAGTAGCATTTTAAAAACTTTTACATTGTTGATAATTCTATTACTATTGCATGCAGATTAACTAAAGGCATAAAAACCTTAAAAACCGGACAATTTACCAGCATATAAGAATAAAAAAATTGAATTCACCGAGCTGGGTAACATAGTGGGTATATAATATATATATATGTAAGATAAAAAATATATAAATCAAAATCATTATTTAAACTAACGGGACCTCTTTAATTCTCTATCTCTGTTCTAAAAATCGTAATAACTTCTTTGGATTGCGTCATTTCCAGATCATCCCATTTTGCATGGCCTGCTAAACTGAAACTGAAACTTAACTCAAACCAAAACCTTTCTCTTCACATGCTTCCATATAGGATAACTACGCACTTCAGCTTCGCTCTCTGCCCTGCTAGGATGTAATTTCGCTATCTTGCTTGCTATCGCAATAATATCAAAAATGAAAATGTTCTTGAATAGGTAGGGCTAGAGTGCCAAGTGAATTTCATCTGGAAAATAAAAATGGAATTAAAACTGCCTCGATTGCCAAGTTTCTTAGATATTACTAAGTCAAATCATCACAATCATAATTTTTCCTCTTCAATATGGATCTACGTACGCATCAACAATTCTCTGGATTTTCTTTGCTATTATTTAACATCTCGGTGTTCTTACATCAGTACTTCTAAATTTTGCATTTTTATTATATATATATATATATATGTATATACTTTTGACAAGTCTGACTGCAACCAAAAATGGAAGTGCACAACTACATGTTATATACATATACATATATCCCACATACAAAATTTCAAAGTTCTGAGGCTACTGTTTTTGAGTTATGCGAGATACATACATATGCACTTATGTACACTGCAGGGGAAAAAAAAAAAAAAAAAAAAAGAAAGAAAGAAAGAAAAGGACAGCTTTATAGCTTACGTTCTACTGGGTCAATTGATGAAATTCAATTTGCGTTTTTCATGTCTCGAAAGCCCGACCTTGGATATATATTAGATTTATATGTAGTCATAATTCTAATATAGGTATTTTGACACAAAATCGGATCTTTTATGAAATGACATGCCACATTTTTTCCATATTTCGAAGTCTACGATCTTAAACTTATGCTATAGATATTAAATTTTGTTAAACTTGGTGCGAAAATTTACGGAGGAAATTCAAAAATTTTCTTGGTGCTTTTTCTCAGTTTGCGCCAAGAATTTTTCCAGTTTGCGCCACTTGGCGAACTTCTTAATTTATAGAAACCTATTCTTCTTTTCCTTTCTTTTTTTTTTTTTTTCCATTATAGACGAGCGGAAAAAACGCTCAATCGTTCATACTTTCAAATAATTTTAAGCAAAGTGCATATTACCACGTTTGGTCGTTATTATCCACTCCAAAAAAAAGATGCCAAATTTCAAAACGCTCCAACATGTAAATTCATGTATATCTTAGAAAATTTTCAATAAAAATCTCTACTTTTTTGCAGGTGTGCCTAGAAATACATGTATTTTAAGACGATGTTACAATTTTTACAGGTTATAAAACAAAATTTTTTTCGAAAAATTCATAAAAAATATTTAAAATACAAATTAAAAAAAAAAATACATCATAAAAATGTGCGAATTATATTTGGATTAAGTCTAAATTTCGAATTCTGGAAGAAGGAATCAAGTAAGTGTAATAAAAAGAGAGATAATAACATAGAAATTCAATTATACATATGAGCGAGGCGGTTTGTACCTTGCGAAATTGCCACTATAAGCGAGTAGTATTTGTACCAGGATTACTTATTGCGAGGATTGCCACTTATAAGCGGGACAGGTATTAGTACCCGTTTAAAATAAGTAATTTTAAGTGACACAAGGGAAAAATAATGTTTTAATCAAATATATGACTACGTCTCAAAGAACGTAAAGTGAGATTGAAAAAATTCCGTCTATCTCTATTTTAACCAATAATATTCTTCGCAGCCACGTGTTTCCACAAATTCGTTTTATGCGATGTTGTATGTTTATAGTCTATTAGTGGAGCAGCTCGTAGAAAGAGATACATGTAACGTTTGATATTGTGTGTAGGCGGTTGATACCACCTTCAATTCAAAGACAATGGATTCTAATAGTGATAGTGATGTATATGCAGATGACTTGTCGCAGATTTCAAGTGACACGGAATTTCCTGATTTAGACAGTGAAAGTGACGAGGAATTATTTCGACCTAGAAGAAATCGAGTTTTGCCAATACCATCATCTAGCGACTCCGAAGACAGTGATGACGAAGTCAACAACATATGTCAAAGTCAACAACAACAATGGTCAACAACTGATAATGTACCAATTATTGAACAATTCCTCGGACAAAGTGGAGTTTTTGTAATGCCAGATAATTCAGAAAGTGTAATAGATGTGGTTAAGCTATTTATTGGAGATGACTTATTTGAATATATGGCAACGGAAACCAATCGGTATCGCGAACAAAACCCAGATGCATTTCGAGACAGAGCAAAATCTGTGAAGTGGAAGGATGTGAATATGGTAGATTTAAAAAAAAATGCTCGGACTACTTCTCCTAATGGGACGAGTTCGTAAAGATACAAGAGACGAATATTGGTCTACAGATAAAACTATCCAAACTCCAATTTTCGCGGAAGTAATGAGCAGGGATAGATTTAGACAGATATGGTATGCGTGGCATTTCTCTAATAATGATGACAGAAATGACAGAGATCGCCTGTAAAAAATCCGACCGATTATATCTTACTTCTTACCTAAATTTCAAGAGGTTATAAGCCAGAGAGAGAGTTATCACTGGATGAGAGCATCATGCCATGGAGGGGCCGTTTGTCATTTAAAGTTTATAATGCATCAAAAATTATAAAGTATGGTTTACTTATAAGAATGGTGTGTGAAGCTAAAACGAGATACATTTGTAATTTTCGCATGTACTGTGGTGAAGGAAGTCGTTTGCAAGAAACGATTTTAAATCTGCTTGAACCCTATTCCAACTTATGGCATCACATATACATGGACAATTATTACAATAGTGTTGCCACTTGTGAATTACTTTTACAGAATAGTTTTCGGACTTGCGGCACTATTCGGGTAAACAGAGGCCTTCCCAGTTGTTTGAAAAATCCTAAACTAGCAAGGGGGGAATCTATATTTCGTCGCCGCCAGAATATTTTATTACAATGTTGGCAATCAAAAAGAACAGTCCGAATGATTTCAACTATACATTCGGCTGACATTGCGGAAAGCCATAATATTGACTGGGCAACAAAACAAAGAATTTGGAAGCCAATATGCGTAATTGATTATAATAAATACATGAAAGGTGTTGATCGCGCTGACCAATACTTATCATATTAATCGATTGTGCGTCGTACAAAAAAAAAAAAAAAAAAAAAAAAAAAAAAAGGACGAAACGAGCTGTAGTGTTTTTTTTTTATCAATTGTGCGTTATTCAATGCGTTTAGAGTTTTTAAAGCATTAAATTCACATTCAAAAAAAAGTATAAGACGTTTTTACATGATGTTGCAAAGGAATGGATTAGCGAAGCTCTTCCTAGCAATACAGATGATTCTGTACAAGGTACATCCGCTACGTCCAGCAGAAGTGATCCTCCAGGGAGGTTATCAAAAGATCCCAAAAGGCATAAATTGGTTAAAATTACCACTGGTGGAACAAAATTGAAACCTCAAAGACAGTGTCACGTATGTGCCGCACATAAGGAAAAAAGTTTAAGTTTAACGTGTTATATATGTGTGAATTTTGTAAAGTTTCGCTGCATCGTGGGGAGATTGTTTCTTCAAATATCACACTCAAGAAAAATATTAGGAACTAGCCTTTGACTACACCAAACTTTATAAACTAGTATATTGTCCTTGTATATAAGGGTATATATGGGATCCCCATAAAATAAACCGCTAACGGCGATATAGTATATATATATTGTAT